GCGCACCCTTAGAGATAAGGTGAGGAGCTCAGAGTACAACCGCTGCTCCTCCACATCGAGAGGAGCCAGCTGAGGTGGCTCGGGCATCTGTTTCGGATGCCTCCTGGGCGCCTTCCTAGGGAGGTGTTCCGGGCATGTCCCACCGGGAGGAGGCCCTGGGGAAGACCCAGGACACGCTGGAGGGACTATGTCTCTCGGCTGGCCTGGGGACGCCTCCGCATTCCCCCGGAGGTGCCGTATTTCAATACCGCTATTGTGTTATGTTTATCATGTATCTTACTTAGGTGTGATAAAGGTTCTGGGATAACCTTTTTCATAACTGATGGATTTGTGAGTCTAATGCATCTGATGAGAGAAAAATTTGGTTTTGTGCATGAAAAACAAAACTGAAGGATATTAAATTTACACTGGTATCACTGGTGTGCAATGGACTGGCGACCTGTCCAGGGTGTACCCCGCCTCTCGCCCGCAGTTGGCTGGGATTGGCTCCAGCCCCCCGTGACCCCGTTTGGGACTAAGCGGTTTAGAAAATGGATGGATGGATGGATGGATGGTATCACTGGTAATATTATTTGAATGATACCAAGCCCACTTTTTTGGACAAATTAATTAATTAAAAAGTCAGTCTAGGTGCTCACCCAAGCTGGTCGTGGCTGTGTCCCTCTTGGAGGACTGGCTTGGAGTAGGCCTTTTCTGGGGCTCGTCACTGAACCCACTTCCCTCTGGTCTCTTCGCCCGACCTGCTTTCAGTTTCTCCTCCACTTTAGACATACCTGCAACGCATGCACACACACACACACAGTCATGGTAATAATTAATACTACTGATTGAAGTCAAGGTAATCCATACAAGAGGGACAGGTGGAGGACAATGCTGAACAAGGGAAATGCTAAAAAAAAGGGAAAGCTGATACTGAGTATAAAAAAAGGAAAAAACTGAGGTGAGAAAGAGATAGAAAATATGAAGAAGAGGTTGTTTTGAGTTCTGTCACAGTGACAGGGAGACTGGATAAGAGCGGTGAGCCCTGCAAACTGTTGATGAATTGTTTGATAAGTGACAAGTAGTTTACAATCTTGTTTATGCTATGAGTCAGTGAACATTTTGAATGAAATAGAATGTGAGAGAGACTGGAAAAGCTCCTTGTATGTGATGTATGCTTGGTGTGTGAGTCACTGATTCAGTTAACTGCATAACACCTCTACAGTTGCCACATCAGTACAGTTATAAAGTACCATTGATACCGTTGATCAGTAGCAGTAAGGAGTGCTCATAATTACTCACATAACCACCCGCACGATTTATTAAAGTTGTTTTGAATGACCCAGAATCCCCATCCCCTATCTTCCAGCAGTGGTACATTTGTCTTCCCAAGGTTTCTATTATTCACTGAAACACCACAGGACTCCGGTGCCCTGTTGTATTGTCAGTAATCAGTGATGAATCAGCCAGCACGTCATAACAATCTCTTCTTCATAAATTCTTTTGTTCACTTATTATTACACCCCCAAGAGGGTTTTGCACAAAGTTGTCTAATTGTTATGGGCAACTTTTCAAAAACCATTGTTTACTCTCAACAGCAGGGTGAAGTGAGAGAAACTTCAGTACCTACCTTTCAAACCAAATGTTCCAGATATAGAAGGCTGCTCGCCAGTGAATTTCTTAGGGGTTTTCTGTTTCCGTCCTAGCGCAAGAGAATAAACAAAGCAAGGAATGGTTAAACACATACAGTGCAAGCACATACTGTAATGAGAATGTGGAGTCCATTTCAAAAGCTACGCTGTGATCTTACTGTGCCTCATTCGCTCTGGATCTTCATCAGGGAAAGAAGGAGGAAGGCTGCCCCCCTCACTTTCACTGCCCCCCGCATCAGATGATGTGCTCTGTGACTGCGCCTGCTGAGACTGAGGCTGGATTGACTGAGACTGGTGAAGCTGCTGTGAATGCTGACTGTGGCTGTGTGGTCTCCTGTCACTCTTCTGGTGGGCCAGCTCCCCGTTCTGAGAGGGCATGGACACCTCGTGGGTCTTTTTCACTTTGAAGAACACCGGAGAGGGGGGACTGTTCTCCATGGGCCTGAATTGACAGTTTTGGGCAGTCAGCATTATGATGTTACTAACACCATTATGTGGGTCAGTGTGGGTGGGAATTTGAGCTCTAAATCCCAGTCACCTTTTCTTGGTGTTGGACTTGACAGGAGACTTTTGAAGTTTAGGCTGCTGGTCCTTGGGCTCCATACTAACCCTGTCTGGGTGGTTCCACAGCTTGTGCTTCTGCAGGCGGACCTTTGTGGCGAATACTGCCTCACAGTAGGGACAGCCATGACTCAGTTTCTCTGTTACCGTGGCCTGAAACACAGAATGGAGGGGAGTGGATTTAGAGTGAGCTTCCGCCCCACACAAAATCAGATGATAGTTGGTAGCTGCTACTGGGATTCTTCACTTGACTAATCACATGTGCTTGAAAAAGCCAGACTAGTCGCTCAAGTATGATGAGTAATTATGAAATATTTGAAGTTACAACAATAGAAATTCTCTGAAAGTTTAAACTGATTCGAGCTAACTTCATAGATCATTTATCACTGACTATTGTGGGCCTTTATTTGACAGTTTCCCTAAAGTTTACTCTGGAAAATAAAGTAGAAATAGCCGCATTGTGGGAGAGAGCAGAGGTTAGTGACTCACCCCCTGGCAGCGTTGATAGTGGTACTTGACGCCATAGATGCTGGGAAACTCTAACCAGCAGCCTGAACACGGACACTTAACCCTGGAGCGACGCTTAAACTCTTCCTTCCATTGTACTATCATATGGGCCTGCTCAGGGGGGAGGAATAAAGAGTTGAATGCATGCAAGGATTATCGCTGTACCCACTGTATACTGTGCATATTCATGGGGAGCTGCCTACTCTGTGCAGTAAAAATGGAGCCCACTTCAAACACCCACTCAGTTCAAAGAGAGATACTCACAGGGATGCTTCTCAGTTCCTGCACTTCTGCTTTAGGACGACCTTTCCTCTTCCCCTCTGCTGGCTCATCACACACCACACCTGGCAAAACAAGGCAGAAGACCATTCGTGAGTTAACAGAGTACGGCCAGTGCTTTGTGTTAATGGAATAGAACATTTAAATATGAAGAGAACACTAGTTACTTTCAAACCTGCTATTTTATAGATCTATCTAGATTCTAGGTATTGTCATTCCACTGAGGTGCACACATGCCCAACTTCAGTAAAATGCCTTTTGAAACCTCACAAGTGTCTGAACCTTATCACATATTCAAACTAAATAAGCACAGGTGTGATCCAGTTCATGTGTCTGCTAGAGGGAGACAGAGAGAGGGCATTGTGGGTAAAGGTCCTCTGTTAAGCCCAACAGATGACCTGTAAATCACTAGTGCCAGTGTGGACCTCTGACACAGCACGCAGCAGACCAACTGCCTCAGCCCTCTCTGCACTCTCTGCCACTCCCTCCCTCCATTTCCAATAATGTCACTTTCCTCTCTTTCTACCCCTTGTCTAGCTTTCTCACCGTGCTTCCCTTTCACTTCCCACACCCTTCCTGATCTTTTGCTACTTGAACTTAAGAGGACAGGCAGTGACTGGCTCATTACTTTTTTTGCTACAGTTAGACCTCTGCACTGTCTCTGCACTCTTTTCCCTCTATGCCCTGCTACTCGAAAATGAAAATGAGTGTATGCATGTGTGTGCATGGGGGGGGGTGGAAGAGAGGAGAGCAGAGGATGCTGAACAAGAGAAGAATGATTTGCAAGGGGCAAAGGGAAGGGAAGAGAGGAGAGCAGAGTACGCTGAACAAGAGAAGAAAAAATTGCAGAGGTGAAAGTCTTCTTTCTCTGACCAAGCAGAATACTGAATGACAGAGCTGCAGGTACAGTAGGAGCTAAGGCTATACTTTGCTCTTCAGAATTATACATCTTTACATGTGCTCCCAACTCCCCTGCACTGATCTGCTACAACCAGATAGTGGCAGCAGAAACAAAGCAAGCAGGAGACAGATATGCTGCAAGAACCCATTTGGTCACATCAGATATAAGAAATGTCAAAAGGCAACAGCTTAAAGCAGAGACCTTCAAGTAGACGTATGCTGTGAAGTGGAATGCAGCAGTGGTCTTACACAGAGTCTCTTTTCATTTCCCCATGCTGAGGAACCTGTCACTGTGTCTGCCATCTGCTTTCTTCTCAAAGAACCACATTGACAGGCAGTGACAGGATGTACACATGACTAGTGCATCCCATTTGTGCTGGGTCCCAAAGTGGATCACAGCAGTGTGTGCCTACCAGGATTACCAAAACGGTTGGAGGAATTCTTATCAAATAAATTACCTGACTTCATGCAAAAACAGGTCATGCTGGAAAAAAAAACACAGCAAAAAACATATTTCTGTCAGTGGAGAAACACTCCAAGTTTAACGTGACCTCACCTTCTCCTTCCATCTCCTCTTTTGGCTTTTTATTCACTAGTACAGACACAAACACAAGCAGACAGATTATATGTAATCTTTTACTTCAGGCTCACAGTAATAAGGTAGAAAGAAAACAAGGTGAGACTGAATAACACTGAATAAGAAGTAGCACAGCATTACTAGCTGTGTTTGGGAATAGTTCATGACACAAGGTGTAAACACACATGTAAAAACACACACAAACAAATACACAAAACCATTACCACGGTGTGTGAGTGTGATTTGTGTGCATGGATATGAGTTAATATTCTCTAGGCGACAGAGCATTTCTCTATTAGCTGTCTGGGTAGCAGCTGGAGAGGTGCAGGCAGCAGTGCAGCTCTTGTGCTGAGGAGGAAATTGAGCATGCATTCTAATTCCTGTCTTAGAAAATAAAGGTCTTGTAAAAGTAAGGCATAATTAATTAATTCTGCTTGGGAAAGATATGTTCTTGTTGCTATGGGAATAAGATCTACTTGTCTTAGTTACCACTACCAGTGGCCTCATCCAGCAAGCAGAACAATTAGGCTCACATGCAGTAGGCTAATAGGCATTGTTAGGTATTTTTAGTCAGATAGATATTGGATAGATACTTTATGTATTAGAAATGTTTAGTGGAGATAGGATGTCTAGTTAGACTGTTAAATGCTTAGGCATGCTTATGAGTTTCTACAGGGTACATCTGGTCAAGGATAACTAGAGAGAAGAGTTGATGACTGTCAGCAGACAGGGTGTTTAATATTATTATTACGACGTGTATAACTGTAGCCTTAGCCACAATATGTTCTTATGTTTAAGTCACGACATGTACTAGAGGTCGTGAGAATGTTTTTAGCTACACACCACTTAACCAACAGACACACACATTCACACGTTGATTTGCTTCATGTTTTGACTA